GACACATGAATCACAATAACAAGGCATATTCTATTTATGGTTAACAAGTTCATCTGGTGGACCTAGAAATTGCTTTCATTGACAGAACACAAAAGCAAATAGCAGATACAGGCATACAGCACATGCTTCTCTGTGTCCAGATGCTCTATTGATGGTTCAGCCCCACAAGATTTCTATACAGCCAATCCGTCCCCATTCAAATTTCACTGTGGATTTTGATTTCTGCGGCGAACATATCGGGTTCTGTCATTGTACCTTGGTCTGTCTTGGGCCCTCTGTGGCTGTGGCTCCACCCTCCTCTGTCTCTCAGGTGATCTTTGGACAATCTCCCCATTAACAAACAACTCAGCTGCAATTTAAAAGATAAAGAAATGTTAGCTATCATAATAATCATGACAAAAAAGTTTTTCATGTATAAAAGATGCCAAGAAGAAAATTTGGGCAAAACAATATACATATTTATGTGGTCTCTACACAAAAATCGTTAGGCAATAAACATCATGAACACCAAATGTTTCAACCCCAATGATTCTGACACTCCACATTAAAAAGAAGCAAAATACAGGAAAAAGGGAATTTTATTGTCAGTCCATTAGCATTCAAAAGCTAAACACTGCCAACTCAAGGCTAATAACTTTGCCAACACGGTCTGGGAAGTGAGTATGGAATATGCATTTGTCTGTGACATTCAAATTCTACAATCAATCACATTTATCAACATTCTGATGCAGGCAGAACAAAACATCATTTCATCAATAGGTTATCTTAGCACAAAATGTAGATTTGCTTTTAAAGATAAATAACTGTTTTACTACATTTCACAATAATAATGTTTCATCTCCACTGACCTGGGCTCCATATAAGAAGCACAGAACCGTTAAGAGAGACATTTGATATAAGTCCATTAGCATTCAAAACTAAACATTGCCAATATGGCTTTTTAGCTTTGCCAAGATGGACTTAAGACATTCAGAAAGAGAAGAGGATTGCTGTAAAGATATATGACCATGACATGTACATAAAGCGCATAAAGACAGTTTTTATGTACATTATCAATCATACACAAATTAATGAATTAAAAAACAGGTTAAATATTCATTAGCCTGTATATCAAAAACAATTTTTAATGTTTCATCTCCACTGATCTGAGCTTCATATAGGAAGCACAGAACCGTTAAGAGAGACAATTAATATAAGTCCATTAGCATTCAAAACTAAACATTGCCCATATGGCTTTTTAGCTTTGCCAAGATGGACTTAGCAAGTTAAGAATTAAGAATACTACAAAGCAAACAATCATGACATATTGCAAATGTGCATAACCTTTCAGTCTAGAGTATTAATTAATGTTAATAGAACTTGAAACCAAAAGGCTAACCTCCATAGTCTTTGTATTCAGGGTCAACATATGAATCCGGAAGCACAAATAGAACTCCAGGCAAACCTGTTTGGAAGAAAAGAAAAATAAAACAACATCATATTCCGTATAAGAAGCAAATAAGACACAAAATTAAAGATCAAATCCAGAAAAATAATGACTTAAATCCCATACAAGAAAACAAATAAGAGAGAAATTAAAGATCAAACCTTCAAGCTTATTAGAGGTCTCCTCATCAATCTCACACCCAAATCCGAAATACCTCTCACATGAAACATTGTAAATCTTCTTCACTGCTTCCTCTTCACTGTAATAATCGAAATGAATAAAGAACATAAATAAAAACAGCTCAAATTCATAAACCCAAGAAAACAAAACTCGAAAGTATCCCATTATCTTTCTCATCAGCCAAACACAGCCCATTCAAAACAGACAGAAAATGTGAAAAGCATATAAACAATGGTTATACCTGCCGACCACTTTGGCCAGAGTCTGAATATAGCAATCTATCATCTGCTGCTTGGTGGCTCCCTCCCCACCAGGCTTATCCATGACAATGAGCCAGTGGTTGTAATCACATCCTGGAAAAAGCGGAGCCATTTCTGTGGGGGGACGGTCGCTAAAGTTGGACCCAGAGTTCAGGGGAGAGTAGGAGTTCCCAGAGCGATTGACGCGGCATCTGATCTGAATAAAACGGGTGGTGGCATTGGAGATATGTATAGGGAGCGATCTGGCGGCGCGGAAGAGGGAGGGTCCGAGGAGTCGACGGGAGAGTAATAGAGAGGGAACGGGAGGTGGGTGAGTGATGCTCGTGGTGGAGAGAAGGCGTTCGGAGAGGACGGAGGAGAGAGGAGGGCGGCGCTTGAGAGCGGTGGTGGCGATCCTTGCTAGGGTTTGTGCCATGGGAGAGCAGAGAAGAGGAGTGAGAGAGAGAGAAATGAGGGTTTAAGGAGAGGGAGAGATGAGAAAGAGGGTTTTGGGGATACGTTAGATATTTATCTTTAACGATGGGCTTTGGGTTTTGGGTTAGGCCTGCTGTAGTTGTGGGCTGATAGGCCATAGCCCTTCATGTAAAGAAAAAAAAAAAAAAAAAAAAAGAGACAACAAGGAGAAATAGAAAATTTCCCAAAAGATAATAAAATTATAGAAAAGTGCAATACAATCTGAACTGCACTATATTAACCAATAAATAGAGAGGATTTTTAATATTAAGAGATCTAACTTTCATTCAATAATTTATATTTTATAATTTAATGCAGTTTAGATTATAAAACATAATTCTATAAAATTAATATTTTTATTGATTAATATCATCTTATTGAAGAGATATAAAAGAAATGTCACTGGCATGGTATAATAAAAGGAATTTTAATTAATTTTGTTCAAGAAATGAAATTTTGGTAACAATTCACAAAAAAATAAAAAAAGGAAAGAAAATAAAGGAAATTTTGATGACAAGCAAAGATCATGAATTTTAGGTTGAAAACACATATATACATATTTTAACCTTGACAATTATCTAGGCTAGTTAATCATGTCTTCAATAGTGTTATTTATTGTCTAAACTTACAATGAATTGTTTCAAATCCTTACTCAACTTGAAAAAGCAACTTTTCTAATTCAATTAAGATATTGGAGGCTAACTAACAAATATTAGTTCACACAAGACTTAATTAAAGGGATGAAAGCTGGTATGGTTTTCTCTCTTTGTAGGGTGAGAGTATGGGTGGCACTGCTAGTCGATGGCTTGGCTTGTTGGTTGAGTTCTTTATTCTTTTTTCAAGAGAGTTTTGTGCTGGAGTTAGATTGTAGGAGTGTGATGGCAAGCAAGTGGGTGATGGATTTATTTGGTATGGAGGAATTGGTGGCAGCAGTGGGGCTGGTTTTGTCTCGATTGATAAAGAAAAAGGGCAAATTAGCGATGGAAGTGCTACTCGGTGACTTGACTTTTTGGTTGAGATCTTTCTTCTTTTTTCAAGAGAGTTTTGTGCTTGAGTTAGATAGTAGGGGCAAAAACATACTTAGTCCTTTACTTTAATAATTTTGTAAGTTTTAATCCTTTACTTTATATTACGACACTTTTATCTTTTCACCTTTACAAATCAAAGAAAATAACATTTACTTAATGTTAGTTTATAACATTCGTCAACTAGCTATTATAACATTCGTCAACTAGCTATTAACATTCCATTCCATTAGCTCTGTTCCTATCACCATTAACAGTTTATTAGCTAACAGTTAACAATCAGCTAATGAATATTATAACATCACGTTAAATAAGGTTTTTTTCTTCAATTCTTATAAATGAGCGGCTAAAATTATTATAGTACAAGTTAAAGAGTTAAAACCTATAAATTTATTAAAATTAAGAGCTAAAAGTAAGTTTTTACCTATGGTAGCAGTGTGATGGCAAGCAAGTGGATGATGGGTTTATTTGGTATGGAGGAATTGGTGGCAGCAGTGGGTTGTTTTTGTCCCCATTGATAGAGAAAAAGTGCAAATTAGTGATGAGAGATCTAGTGGTGACCAGTGGATCTGATGTGGATGATGGGAAGAGGATGATCGGTGAGCCGTTACGAAAGCTTTTACCAACAGTGGTGGTTGATCCAAGGTCCTTCAGATTGGAACTTCAGATGAGAATTGGTGTGTGGGATGTGGGGATGCAGGTTGAGACTCCTATGGTTGGCTTGGAGGAATGTTTTGATTCAAATTTTCTGGGATTTGTTGGTTGATTTTGAAACTCGAAAATATTATAATTATAATGATATGTAATATTGTAAATTTAAAATAATGTATAATTATATAATTAAGTTATTTTATATATAAATTTATTTATAATATTATATATATTTATGTAACATAATATCATACTCATTTAATATCATATTATAATTATAAATTTATTGTCTTTCATAATATTATATCTATAATGTTTTCATTTAAAATTTAGGAGGGTAATATATTCCCAAAAAATCAGGAAGTTTTCAAGTCAAATGTAAATTGGATTCAATAATTCAATTACCTTTTATGGCGGCTGGCATCAATCCAGGCAGAGAAAAAAAAAAGGACCTTTTATCATGAAAGATGAATTTTTTTATATGTTAATAGTATTTTTTTTTGTATTAAAAGTTTATATATTAATGTAAATGTTGACATTAATTTTAATATAAGGTGAATTTAATTAGATAATTGATAAATTAAAGATTAATTTTTATTTTTTAATATAAATTTCTGATAAAAAAATATATTTAATAAATCCTTAAGGTCAAGTTAGATAAATCCATAAAAGATTATATATTTCTTTTTGCAAGATCCCTTCTACAGGGGCAGTTTTCTTTTGATATCTTTCTTAGAGCATGTTTGGTGAAGTTTATAAGAGTTTTTACTTTTTTTCTGTATTATTTATGAGTGATAAGTTTTAATTTTTATTGGAGAAAAAATTTAAAAATTATTTTTAAAACTAAAAAAAAGTGAGTAAGAAGTGAGTAAAAAAAAGTTTATAAGAAGCACAAATTTGAAGTTTTCCAAAATTTATTATTTAAAGTCTTTTAAGGTTAAAAAGAAGTTAAAAAATATAAATTTTTAAGAGAAAAATTTAAACTTATAAAATATAAATGTGTCAAAAAACTAAAACTCTTACAAGTTTCACTAAACATGCCTTTAGATATGCTTGAACTTATATTTCATCTTGGTATTAGACAAATTATAAATTTAGAAGGTGAGATTGGTGTAGGTCATATAATGTTCTGCTTTTCTTTGTTATCAGTCTTGTATTTACTTTCAATTAATTTTATATTTTTTATTAGTTATATTAATAAAACTTGTCTTTCATAGAAAAAATTATTTCACACTATTGATTAACATTCTATTGATTAATATAAGATCTTTAAATAGTCTATGTATGGGTAAAATATTGTTACATTTTAAATGATTAATATCACATTCTTTTAATGTAATTATTTATTATATTTTTATATTACACATTTTTTTAAAGTTTTATTTTTTTATTTTTTAATAAATAAAAATATATAATAATTAATTAAAATAAAAAATACAATATTAATAATTAAGAATGGGACAATAACATCAAAAACCAATTATAAAAGCCAATTACTTAGATGTTAGGGAAAAGAATAATATATGATAATAAATTACTATAAAATTCATGCTTTATCTAGCAGGTTTTTTGAATTAATAAATATAGTACCACCAACAAATACTCAAATAATAGTAATAAATGCTCAGTGAATTTTATTTTTTTATTTCTAATTTAACTTTTGCATTTAGATTAACATATAATATATTTAATTTGAGGAAAAGAAAAAGGATAAAAAGAGAAGATTTACTCCTTTCATTTACATAAGTAAAAAAAATTAAAAAAGATAAAGTAAATAAGTTATCTCCCTTTGTTTCTTCTCCACTCCTATTCTCTCGAATAAAAAATATTGTTAATAAAAGGATTTATCGAGCTTTTGATGCGTAAGTAGTTGGAGGGCTTCTCAAGCATGGTGGAGCCGATCAACCGTGTTCCCATGTTTGGTAACCACTTTTGATGGTCTACCAATTCTTTTGTGGCCTTGTTGGTGGTTTTTGTTCTCTTTTCTTTTTGTTTTTTGTTTTTTGTTTTGGTTTGCTTAAATCTGGTAACCAACAAGCCAACCACGAAGAATTCAGGGAATGACTGCCGCTTGATCTAATGTTCTAGCCACGGCATCCTAAAAACTATGCGTAATTTATACAAGAGTAGATGAAAAGGTATCTAGTTCTCTAGAATGATTGACCAAAAAGATTTTGTCAAAATCTATTTCCTTAACGATTGTTTGTATGAAATGCTCACTCCCCTTCTTTTATCTATCTTATGTTGAACTTGATCTACTTTTCATATTTTTCTCTAGTAGTGTTTTATGTATTTATAATTTCTTCTTATCAATGAGATCAAAATTTCTTATGTGAATGCTGTGTGATTTTGAGAAAATGATATCCTTTTCACTGAATTTTTAAAAAAATATTGTTAATAATTTTATTTAAAAAATGACAATTAAAATTTTTTTTAATAAGTGAAACTAACCAACAAATTTTTTTTTCAATTACCAACAATTTTTTTTTTCAATTGACATTTCTTTGCTATGTAAAAGCACCAAGCCAAATCACATCAACATATATATATATATATCAACCTAGCACAATTGAAAAACACCAGTCATTAAACACAATCTATCATCCTCTCCTTAAATAGAAGATAGTTATTTCTTAAAAAATATGTAAATAATAACTACTAATATTTGTACAACCAGTGTTATCAATAGCGGATAGCGGCAAATAGCAGAAAAGCCAAAATCCGCTATGATAGCATAGCGGCCGCTATAAACAAATAGCGGGTATTTAATAAAAAAATTAAAATATAAATCTAATAATTAAAATAAGAGATAAATCTAGTAATAAAAAAACATAAAATGACTTAAGAGT